TCTTTTAAAAAAAGCATAATAGCTTTGAATTCAAAATTTTTTTGCGTACAAATTTTTGTTTCCAAAAGTTGATGTCATCATAAAAAATTCTTGTTCCGACAAGAAAAAATACTTGCAGTTGCCTAATTTTCAGATATCAAGCAAACAAAAATTCCGGAGAATTCAGAAGCGTCCAGTGATAATGACAATAACCCTGCAATTATTTACAGTATAAAAACTGTTACTGAATATGTGAAAGGTAGAACAACTGCTAAAATTTTTTTTGTCAGTGCTTGATAAAGCTTACACTTGAAATGCCCGAGTAAGAACAACTGAGAGATATTTTCAGCAAACAAGGAACGAGTATTTCTCTATGCAGCATTGGGCCTTTCCACGGGGTTGGTGCTCCTGTTAGCAGCATGTGTTTTTGTGCAGTGCCGCAGTAAGCAAAAGATTACCAAAAAGCAACATACAGCCCCATCGAGTACCACCGAATACGATTCACTGTTATGTGACAAGACACAAACAAGTCCGAGTAAGTGGTAGTTAAGACTGTTTATGACCACTGTTTATAGAATAAAAAACAACAGAAATAAAAGGGATGTTGAAATATCTTTTTTCCTCCTTATACAACAGCTCACTTAGTATCTGAGCTCTTAATTCTTCCCTTCTCTTTTTCATTTGTCGCCATCTTTAATATCATAATTGAGAGGGACGTCTAACAAATGCACCTGACTGGTAATAAAACTAATAAATTGGCAAAATTGATAAATTTGTTGATGAGTTTCTCAAGATAAATTTTGCATCACTACGAATGCACTAGATGTTATCACTGAACTGCTGTTTTACTTGACTTTTCCGAACACTTCTGAAACAGCATCATATCGCTTGTGAAATTTTAGTAGAAATTGCAGGTTTCTCAATCTGTGTTAATCCGGAAACTCACAACTGTTTCGATATGGGAGATTTGACACATAATGGCAAATCATTTATGAGGTTTGCACAATTGACTCCGCCACGGGTACCGCAAAATTTACACTGTTACAGTTAATAGGTGACTAATCTTCTATACTATTTTGGCAACAATATCTCTAAATCTTGGTGTATGTGTATTAAACTAATGAAAAAAACCAATCTGTTGCAAATTTGGTCTCATTAATTTTATTAATTGCTAGTTTTAATGAAATAGTTTGTTGTATCATTTTTATAGCTACTATTCATAATTAATTTCTTCTGTATGAGAATATCTATAACTGTTATGAAAAATGTCTAATCTCTTTTTTTTGAAGTAAAGAAACTGTACAATTTCCACTAATTTGTTCGTTCTCTTCCTCAGTGTAGTTGAAAACGATAGAAATAATTTATTGTTGTATAGACGACATTTGTGT